AAACATGATCAAAGGAACAACTGACCAAGATGCTATTACAATCTTGAACATATATTCACCAAACTCTGGTGCACCCAACTTCATAAAAATACTACTACAGGACTTTAAGACCCAGATTAATCCCAATTTAATCCCAATTCATTAATAGTAGGGGACTTCAATACCCCACTGTCTTCATTAGATAGGTCAACAGGACAGAGAGTTAACAGAGAGAGAGCTGAACTAAACAACAGCACACATCAAATGGACCTAACAGACATCTACCGAGTATTCTACAAAAGCACCAAAGGATATACTTTCTATTCAGCGACCCATGAAACATTCTCTAAAATCAACCTCATACTGGGACACAAAACAAAACTCAACAAATACAAAAAGATTGAAATAATTCCATGCATTTTATCAGACCACAATGCAATAAAGCTTAAAATCAACAACAGAAGAAGCCCTAGTAACCACATGAGCACATGCAGATTAAACAACACACTTCTGAATGATGAATGGATCAAAAGAGAAATTAAGAAAGAAATAAAAGTATTCCTAGAACTAAATGAAAAGTAAAAGATGCATTTATGTTCAAAGTCCTAGAAGGAATTGGACTGGAGGGAACATACCTCAACATAATTAAAGCCATATATAACAAAATGATAGCCAACATCATTTGAAATGGAGAAAAACTGGAAGCATCCCCAGTGAAATCAGGAACCAGACAAGGCTCTCCACTATCCCCAATTCTCTTTAACATAGTACTTGAAACTCTTGCAAGAGCAATAAGACAAGAGAAGGAAATTAAAGGACTAATAATTGGAAAAGAAGAGATGAAATTATCCCTTTTTGCAGATGACATGATGTTATATCTAAGGGATGCCAAAAATTCCACCTGAAAACTCCTAGAAATTATTAACATGTTCAGTGAAGTGGCAGGTTACAAAATTAACTTAACAAAAGTCTATAGTCTTTCTATATACCAATAACAAGCAATCCGAGAAAGAGCACATGGAAACACTCCCCTTCACAATAGCTGCAAAAAAATAAAATATTTCAGAATAAACCTGACCAAAGACATTAAAGAGCTCTACAATGAAAAATTTAAATCTTTAAAGAAAGAAATTGAGGAAGACATCAGAAGATGGAAGGACCTCCCATGCTCATGGATTGGAAGAATTAATATTGTGAAAATGACCATCCTACCAAAAGTCATATATATAGATTCAACGTAATGCCAATCAAAATCCCCACGACATTTTTCACAAAATTGGAAAAAACTATCCTAAGATTTGTATGGAAGCACAAAAGACCTCGGATAGCCAAAACAACCCTGAGCACTAAGAGCAATGCTAGGGGATTACTATAACAGATTTCAAGCTGTACTACAGAGCTATAGTCATAAAAACAACATGGTACTGGTACTGGCACAAAAAGAGACCCATAGACCAACAAAATTGAAGACCCAAATATGAACAAAATGCAATTTCAGCCACCTGATATTTGACAAAGGGGCCAAGAATATTCATTGGAGGAAAGACAGCATGTTCATCAAATGGTGCTGGCAAAACTGGATCTCTACCTGTAGAAAAATGAAATTTACTTTTGCACAAAAGTAAATTCCAAACGGATCAAAGACCTCAATGTAAAGACTGAAACTCTGAAACTCTTAGAAGAAAACATTGGCAAAACCTATAAGATATAGGTGTAAGAAAGGATTTTCTAAACCAGACATCAATTGCCTAGGAAAGAAGGTCAAGCATCAACAAATGGGACCTCATTAAACTAAAAAGCTTCTGTACATCAAAAGAGGCAACCAGGGAAGTGAAGGGAAAACCCACAGAATGGGAGAAAATTTTTACCAGCAACACATTTGACAAAGGTTTAACATCCAGAATATATAATGAACTCAAAAAACAGAGAATCAAGACAGGAACTAACCCAATTAAAAGATGGGCTAAGGAGCTGAACAGGGAGTTCTCAAAAGAAGAAATAAAGATGG